CCGGGCTGTCCCGCTGCCCCCGGCCTCGCCTCGAGGAGGAGAGGTTTCTGTTCCCAGGCTCCGGCCCGGGGGCGTCGGTGACTGCAGGGAAGAGATGGGCCCCGAGGAAGGGCAGCCCAGCCCAGCCCAGCCCAGCCCCAAGAGGCAGCGGGTACAGCAGGTGCCGTGAAGGGCCGAGGGCCCCGTCGGTGAAACACGACGCTCCCAAGCCCCCTGGATCACGTCCATCTCTGATGAGGTGAGGATTCTCAAGCGGGAAGCGAGCGGTCCGGTGTGCAATGAATAAACCTGTTCCATTGGTCCAGGCCGAGCGTTTCTCTCGCAGGCAACCTGCTGAGCCAGGTCCCCAGGACAGTCCCTCTGAGCCTAATCCAGCCTGATAAAGCCACCAGGCTCTGCCCAGTGGCTCCGATTGATTTTGCCACCGGCAGGACTCCTGTCGGTGTTACAAATGGGTAGGTAAGGCCTCTGTCCAGCTGCAGCATCCCCCTTGCTACCAGAGCAGGGGCGTCCAGTCTCAAATTACCAACATCTTTGCAAACGAGCCTTTCTTCTGCCCACCTGATGCTGCACCGTGCCCTCCCCTTCTCAGTGGTATTTCTTTCTTTGCATCATCCTCCAGGGCTTGATTTACAAGGAGGACAATGCGATGAGAGATCTCAAAAACAGCTTGCAAGAGCTGGCCAAAAGACCTGCATCCCGCAGACCAAGCGGGAAGCAGTGAAACAGCAGAAAGAGGAGCTGCGGGCTTCCCTGAACGAGCGTGACGAGCTACAGCAGGACACTCGGCACCTAAGGACACAACTCAATACACTTGTATTGGGGCACTGAGGATCAGCGCTGGCTCTCAGAAAGGTACTGCAGGAGGAGATTAAACCTGTCGTAGTGCCGTCAGGTCAGGCCGCTGCCTGCTTCAGGTAATTACCTGGCTCCTGCCAGCTCCTGGCAGGACGCATATGCCGTTTTTCACGGTGTACCTGCTCCATCACAATGCTCCGCTGATTTCAGTGGAAAGCAGCCCTGTAGCAACAACAATCACAACCACCAAGCAAGCAGCTTACTCGCAGGACCGCCTTTTCTCCCCATTCACTGACTCGGCTCTGAAACCAGCTCTGCAAAGCGCTGTGCCACTTTGGAGAGGCCGCACGCTAGCCAGAATGCAGAGCAGCGAGGCTACCGCAGATCGGGCGAGGCGTGTGCTGAAAAACAAGGGAGCTGGTATGGGCTAAGCAGAGCAAACGTAATACTGCCCGCACATAAAACCGTCTTTTGTAGTTGTTTGTAGCACCTAGGGCTGGGCGCAGCTAATTTTGGAAGCTGAGCAGTTCCCAGATTGGCTGGTACTTTGCTGAGAGACTCGAGACAAGGAGCCAGGGTTGAGTCAAAGGTAGAGAGAGTGTGATTTACCGCAGTGCTGAGCAGATAGAAAAATGAGAAATAAGAGCAGCAGCAGGCAGGAGTCCCAGCTGTGATTCAGGCCTCTGTATCAACTCTCGCCTGAGCCGAGCATCGGTGACACTGGACAGGGGGCATCTGGAGCTAGGAAACAACTGAACGTTTCCCCCACCTCATTTTATTTAGACTTGGTGTTTGCTCCTCACAAGCACCAGCCTCCTACAGGCAGGGCAGCCCAGAACAGTAATGGAGCATCTTTTGCTCTTGTGCTGGACTGCACAGCTCTGGTAGAACAAGAGGACGGGGCAGTAGTAAAACATCAAATGGGAGTGAGAACCGCAGTACGAAACCCAAGCAACCCATTTGTATTTTAACCAACATTGTCCTTGTGGTGTAAATAGCGAGGAAGTGCCAGTTCTGACCTCCTGACGGCCTGGAAGCCCTCGGTGACAGCCTGGGCCAGGGTGGGACAGGAAAGCGTGTGGCTGATGCGATGGGCTCTGGTTTCCCCCGTTGATTCCTTGGAGCCTGAACACAGCAGTGGGGGTAAACTGGCCACCCCTGGCCATACAAGCCACCGTCATCTTGTTTTTCAAATAAAAATCTCTCTTCATTTTAAGAGGCTTCATCTTTCAAGTACTCCAGCACTCCAAGATTGCACTTTGTGTCCCGCTTTCGGGTTCAGCAGTTCTCTGCTGCTTAGATTTCGGGGCAGTTACCCCAGTTTGCTGATGACTCTCCTCACTGGGTCTGACTCATCCACCTGCTGCTAGGGAACAGGGCTCTCGCTTTTGTGTCAATCCTTAACCCTCTTGTCTCCATCTAGTGTCCAAATCACACTTCAGTTTCTCTCCCAGCCCACTCGAGAGACCTGCAGGCTTAACAGCTTGCATGTCACTGTGCCGACATCCAAATTAAGCTGAACAGGCTCAGATTCACATCAGCACCCCCAACGCCTCCTCTGAGAAGGCCCTAATTGCTTTCGTGTCCCTACAGTTTTTACCCAGGTGGAGAAAAGCTGCTGGCTTGCCGCAATGCAAAGTGTGGGAAGGGGCCTGAACACTTGATGCTAATCATAAGGATCCTCACCTTCTCAGGTTTTTAATAACGTCAGGTTATTATTGATTCCTCTCTGCCAGGGCGCCTGGAGCACCGAGCCCCAGAACTGCTGGCTCCCCTAACCCTCCTCCTCTGCGTGGCTCACTAGTGCGTCGGGCAAGGAATAAACCACTGCCGAGTGCCACCGAAACTACCTGTCCCTGGCCTTCTGCAGGCGGACACGGCCCGGCTCTTCCCACGCTCCCAAGAGCTCACAGCGTATCAGCTGGGTTACAGCACCACTGATACAACCTGCTTCTCAGCAAAGCTCTCGGCTCAGGCTCAGCCCCATCCAAACCACAGAGAGGTGGCCTTTTCTTCAGCATGGTGGCAAAGCAGGCCCTGACCTGCACGTGCCTCACACGGTCAGAGTCCCCATCAGAGGACGGAGGCCGTCTGCAATGTAGGGAAGCCGGCGGGGGAGGTTCAAAGGAGCATGAAGGTATTTGGACCTGGCACCTCTTGAAAAGTCTCACTCAGGCACATTTCCTTTTTTTGGTCCCTTTGGGAAGGCTCAGTTCGGCAGCCAGGGGCAATTCTACCCGGATTTGGGATAGTTAAAGGATCCCTCCGTAGGGATGTGCAGGGAGAACCTGCTGAAGGCCCTCAAGCCTGCAGTAACTGGCATCTGCTGTCTTGCCAGGCTGACCGAGAGGCACTTCATGCTGTCTGCACCAAGGAAAAGGCTTGGCCCTGAAGGAGCAACGCACCATGCTTACCTCCTGTTCCTGGACTGAGGAGGAGCGCTGAATGCAGCAGGAGAAGAATAAGCAGGACGTGAGGGAGACGGCCACGACCTGTGCTGCCACCCGCATCCAGAAAAGCTGCTTGTTCCAGACACCCCTCATGTTGAAGACGAAGAAAAAGGGAGAGGGCAAGAAGGCCAAGAAATAAGCACAAAATCCATCCTCTGTCCTCCATTCTTTCTTCCCAGCATGGCTGCTTGCTCCCCTGGGGCTCAACTCTCCCAGATTACAAGCATTGACTGAGATAGCACTTGCACTAAGGCCTGAGCCTGCCAGGGCTGGCTGTCACAGACAGAAGACATCAGAGCAGCGGCACGATGACACGTCTCACCATTTTAGGTTGAGCTCTGTTGCCTTTCAAAAGCAAGAATAACCTTTCTTGCCAATGGGACTGGACCAGGGGTGTCCCTCCCGGCTGGCCTTTCTAGCTTCAGTGCCCTTCATGTGCTGGAGTGGGTCAAGGCCCAATCCCGCTGCTGCTCAAGGTGGCAATAAAATTTCTGGGGGCCGGATGATGCCCTTAACCTCGCTCGGTTTGTCCTTGGGTGAATTTGAGAGAATGTTTCCCTTTGCGTGGGAGGGAGTTACCAGACTCCCAGCAACTCCCCTGCGTTCCCTGACCTCAGCAGCTCGTCACTGCAGCCTCCCTTCCCAGGGCAGCGGTGACACTGGCTGCAAACCCCGAGCCACCCGGCTTGCGTCCTTTATCTGCCTCCCTACTTGTATTCCTAAAGACCGAGTTGCTCTTTCCCACCTCAGGAATGGAAATCGAGGAGGACCTGCTTTGCTCAGACAGTCTTTGGAGACGCTAGCTGTGCCCAGGTCGCACAGCAGCATCCTGCGGACCAAACACAAGGCCCCAGCAGATTTGCCTTGGGTCACTTATTTGGTGACGAGCATGGCGTTGCTGTGAGAGCACCTCACAACCCTCGGTACAAACCACAGGATTACGTGTCCACTCAGCACATCCTCATCACCAGAAGCTGCTGAAATCCCTGTGGCAGATCCTTCTCTGTCACAAAATCCCATCCAGCTCGGGGACATCCCACCTCCAGCAGGACGCGGGGTGATGCCATTCCTCACCTCTCTGCTCGTCCTCCCTTCTCCTTCCTTGCCAAAGGAGACCATTAAAGCGTTGATGAAATGGAGCAAGGCCAGGAGAGAGCCACCAAGACGGTCAGGGCTGGAGCACACGTCCCATGCGCAGAGGCTGAGGGAATGGGGCTTGTTCAGCCTGGAGAAGGGAGGGTTTTGGGGGGACTCAGAGCAGCCTCCCAGTACCTATGAAGAGGAGGTGACTATGAGGTTTGAGCCAAGCTTTGTGCTCAGGTGCACAGCAGAATGAGAGAACAGACACAAACCGAAACAAGAAAGGCTCCGACTGGATATAAAGGGAAACTTCTCACCCCAAGGACAGCCAAGCAGTGGGAAGGGGTACCAGCACGGCTGTGCAGCCTCTGTCCTTGAGGGTTCCCACCACCCGACTGGATAAAGCCCTGAGCAGCCTGGCCTGAGCCCATAGCTCACCTGCCTCAGGCAGGAGGTTGGGCTAGAGACCTCCTGCAGTCCCGTCGAGCCCAAGCGATCCTGTGATTGTACACGACAGGCAGGATGAAGCAGGACTCCTCTCTCCCCAGAACTGGTCAGCAGAGGTCCCCGTCAGGGCTCTCGGACCTTAACTGCCCTGGCCAGCCTCACCTGGGACCTCCACCCCGGTGGCACCCTCTGCTCCCTGGTCTGGGAGCTCCACCTGAGCTCAGGCCCTGCCTGTCCCCCCCGAGCTACGCTGTAGGCGTACCTGTGCCTGGTCCTTCTCCTGGATGGGCCCTGGACCTATGCTGTAGGCAGTCCTGTCTCCTGCTGTTCTGACTTCTCCGGCTGGACTTCCGGGACAGAAGGAACCTGACTCGTTACCGTTCCTCATCTGACGACCACCGGACAGTCAATGGAAGCTGCTGTTACCACCAAGGCTGTCCCGTCCCGCTCCGGTGCTGCGGCCACCCTCGGTTCCCGGCTCATCCTCCCATGTGGAGCAGCCCCGTCCTTCGTTCGCAGCCACGGGAGGCCCCAGGGTCCTCAGGGACTTGCTCACCAGGTCAGGCCCCACCTCAGGTAGGATAAGGCTGTATTTACGTCCAGGGGGACGTTTGGCTTCACTTCCAGGGAGGCCTGGGTTTGCAGCCACCCACTGCCTTGGAGTTCATGGCCAAGGAAGGCCCGGACATGCTTTTCGATCGACCCCTCATCAGAGGGCCTCGGGGGGTCACAGGGGCTGTCGGAGGGCTCTGGTTTTTACACCTTTCTGTCCTGGGGTTGCCTGAAGCCAGTCGGAGCCTGTCTGAGGAGGTGTTCGGCCGGCTCAGGGACTGGGAACGTCCTCTGCCGGGAGCACCTCGGCCTTCGGAGCCCAAATCGCTCTCAGGACGCTTCCAGAGACAGGACTTGTCCTTACCGCCCACCTCAAAGCCTGCTGTTGCCGGAGACACAAGGGTTCGCGGGTGGACGGCTCTCAAGGGCGTCTCCCTGGAGCCGGGAGAAAGGCTGGGCTGGTTTCGGGGGCCGGGCGGAGGGCTCCAGAGCAGCGGATGGAGCTTGGCTACGTCTTCCTTCCTCATCCGAGGGGCTGCCCAGGCCGGACCCTCAGGCTTGGCACCAAAGAGGGACTCGTCGCAGTAGGACGGAGTGTGACTTCTCAACCTTCACGGGGCAGCGAGGAGAGAAAGCCGTGTGTTTATTAAAGCGGGCAGCGACAGCACACAGACCCGGCCGCTCTTTTGGGGGGGGGG